TGATAGAGAGGGCAAAAAAGAGAAAGAACGTAGTATACGCGCTTGAGGGCTAAGGGAAAATTCAACTGGCTATTTTTGTTGCTCTCTCTACCAACGTTGATTTTATCGCTATATCGACCTATTTTTGTAATAAATAATGATTACTAATCGATCATGTTTAGCTTTAGCAATAACAAATGCCTTTCCGAATTACGCCTAGTGTCACAATTGCTTATGTGTACCTCAAATAATGCACTTATATATTTTATCTAGTTTTCAGGCTCCACCACTCTGAGGAACTCCCACCAAACACCACATAAGCACGTATTCCTACCTTCTCCAACTCTTATCTTCTCTCTCTACCTGGATAATTAATTACACACAAACCCTTCGGAAAGGATTATCCAAACAATACAAGAAAAGAAAATACTCGACAGAAATAGTTAGAAACAGCGCCACGCAACGGGACTCATAATACAACAACACGCTCACATCAACAAATTTCTTAGCATACTCATTCTACACCCTCGCAATCCCTCATTCGAAGGTCCACAATGTCCGTAGAACTAGTACCTGCACATCAACTTTCCTTTCATCGTAAGTATATGTAGTATATGGAAAAATAGTTAGACGGCGAGGCGAACAGAGATGGATGTGAGGAAGAGACGCAGACTAAAAAAATTTAGTAAGATTTAGCAAAACTGTAGTAAGTATGCCGATGGGTGCGAACAGCGTCTGTGGAGAGATAACGTTTGATAGACTATAATTACGACTTTATTGGAGTAACTTTGGTTAGATTTGATTACAACGTGCGATACCTGCGTGGGATATATCATGTCAAGCAATGCAGTCTTTTTGCGTTGATATCACTTTATCAAATCACACTTTTATTACGCACCTTTTTAAACATTTAGCTCTTCCTCGAAAAAAAAGAAAAACACCATCTAAATTTCGCGCTCATCGTATAGTTGACTACGTGTATATACATGAAACTATTGTAACGCATTTAGCAATTAATACTACTATCTATTTATCCCTTCCCACTCTTCTTTTCATTCATTACTCTCGACATTGCCTTGACCTCACTATTCCATTTTGACTACATAAAGGACCCTTCACACAACATGTAAAAGAAATTCTCAGTGTACGCAACCCAAACAATCTGCCTGTTGCGTTCAAAGTAAAGACTACTGCACCGAAGCAGTATTGTGTTAGACCAAATTCGGGACGGATCGATCCTGGAGAAAGTGTCGATGTTCAAGGTGAGAAGAGAAGGGAATTTTTTTGGATGTATTGTCAGTTAGAGAGTATGTGAAAACGATTCGAGTAATGTTGTTATAATGTCTATATTATAGCTAATGTGTATTGTAATTTTCTTGTTTATTCGGTTACTTTCCACTCTTGCACTCTTTCCTCCTTTGTCTTGTCCTTTTTCTAGTCATTCTCCAGCCAATGAAGGAAGATCCGCCGCCAGATTTTAAATGCAGAGACAAATTTCTTGTACAAAGTGTACCAATTACCCCAGAACTTGAGACTGGTAGTCTTCAAGAATTGGTAAGAACGATGAAAAAAATGTTTAGTGTTATCTTTACGAGAGAATATGTGTCGTGCAATGGATTATTAGGGTGCGGGATTCCGATATTCACCTAGTTCTTCTGTCATGATGAATTTCCAAACTCTTAGTGGGCTGCAGTCGAACAAAATTCTAGAACTTCGATCAAAGAAAACAAAATTCGATGCGTATATCTCCAATCCAGCAACTTAGAAGTACGTCCAATTTCGACTACGTCTGGATTTACACCGTCTGCACAACAACTACATAACGGAGGAGAGGAACGAGGGGTATGTATATGTTAAGGAAAATTGTTTGGGACTAGGGAAAGAAGAACAATATATAATTGGCGACAATTATTGGGCGAATTGTTGAACACTTTTAATGCGGAACTGCGGACTTTGCATGACTTCTCTACTAAATCACGTTAACTGACCTTTTCATATTATTACTATTTATCTGCAGCATGTCGATACAGGTTCTATCGCACAAGCACAACAGCAAGTATACCAGCAGTACCAACCTGCCACAGTCACAAATTCCACTCCGAATCTTCCTGCCCACATATCTCACAATTCTACCCACGATCGCAATGTTGCAACTCCGGTGGGCGGTTACTCCAACGCATCAGCCAATGTAAGTCCGTATACTGTGGAGCAGTCAATCCCGAATAATGTGATAACTTCAGTTGGTAATGGCGACGACAACGACGTTACGAGATTGAAAAGACACTTGGCTGAAGTACAAGCAGAGAATACCAAGTTGAAAACAAAGTTGGAGACTTGCAAGGCGGACTTGGAGCGAATGCAGTTGAGACAGCGGAAGATGGAAATGGAACATGACAAAGAAAAAGCGGAAAGAAATGCGTCTAAAGTAAACGATGGTAACCAATCGGCTTATAACGTTAAGATGGCAGAAAAGGTTCCAGTTGGATATTATCCGTTCGAAGTCCTCGTTGGTGCGGCTGTGATGGCTTTCATTTTGGGTGCTTACTTATTTTAGAGATTCATAATGCGTTTCCGTGTTTGAGCAATCGAAAGTAAGCAAGCAAGATGTAAGCGGGAAGAAAGAAGAGATGAAATTAGCGAGATGGGACGGGATGGATAGGATGGATGGGATGTGATGTGATGTAGAATAGTCTTTGCAAGAAGTTTTCGCACTCTTTATTAAGATCGGTAAGGCTGAATGCAACAAGTGATTTGTAATTTAATACACGCAATAAAGAAGCTATATTATGGGATAACATATATAAAATTATGGTAGTGTAGCTTGGAATTAAGAGTTTTTCTACTACTCAAATTAGCTTTTCACAACAGCTGGCATTACTTTATCTAGTTTACTATATAATTAAGGGTTATATTGTTGTAAACACAGAAAAGTTAAATATAGGGGTATTCCTGAATGTTTATATAATTACGATGTTTATTATTTAAATATGTTTCTGTATAGTGCGGTGGGGTGTTTTCTGATAAGCCCCAGCCCTCGGCAAACAGTTTTGATAAACACGAATAAGAATTTTTTTTTTCCTACTTGTACGTGATGGATTCTATTGAGCTAAAAAATACCAACCATGTCAAATACGATTGCCTGTCTGCGTATTGGCAGTTACTAGTGTATATAATAGAGTCTCGATTGTTTTGCGGGTCATTGTGGCGGTTGTACGAGTCGTCAGAATGTACAAGTTTACGGTCTGACATTAATATCAAATTGCAATGGTATTAATATTAATAAACATCTTGTAAATGTTCTTTTGTTGTCTCTCATTCAGATGATCTTCTATTTCTACAAACATATTTGGCTAAGAGATTGATGGTAAGAATGAAATGCCAACACGTGAAGTCAACAGTGATTCGCAAAAAGAATATGATCATCGTTTTAAGCACATACTCTCGTAGTAGGAGGGTTATCGCAAATTATTTATCACAAATATTTTGTATTGTCCTATTACAATTTTGCACATAGACCAATTAACTTATTACTTTCGATTTTATCCGTTACAATCAATCTCGCATCTACTAAATTTTTTTATTTACCTCGATATTAGATATTAATATGCTTAGTAATACCACATGCAAGTGAAACAATTCATGCAACGTATCTTATTAATAAAGAGGTCTGCAAGGCAAATATCTTATCGGATTGTACCATGTATTTGCGTAATCTGTTCATCCGACAATCGCATATGCGTGTGTATTTTAACAAATCCAACCGACATTTATATACATCAGCAGTCTGTTTATCGTGGAAAACGTCGCTTGATCAAACTTTACTGACAAAGAGATTGATAACTGCTGCATGTTATAAAGGTTATAAAGGATAGCAATATATAAAATTGATTAATTAGACATGTGATTATGCTTAATTGCATCAAAGTTCAAGGGTCCACAGGTGCATAAATTCATGCTGATCCTCTATTTAAACACAGTCAAAACGCGTAGATATTTTTCCTCACTCTCCTCACTTCTCCTCACTCTCCTCTATCTAACTAGTCGCGTACACATATTATCAAAAAATGGCAGATAACGACAAGGCCGTTGCTTACACGAAACATTCTCCAAACGCAATTTCTCGAACAAAGACAAGCGACAAGAAGAGCGCTTGCAGAAAAATGGATTAAGGAACAACGTGATTTCGCTCTTAACAGACAATACGACAACTATCCAGACGAAAATGACTTTGCAGGCACTAACACCAACCATGCGAGAACTACTACGGAAGCTTCTGTGACACCTCTAAAGAAAACGTCTGCTGAAGACAGGGTATCCTCAGCCAAGCAATCCCGGAAAAGAAAATTTAAGCGCGTGAAGCCTTTACGAAAATTAAACTCAGAAAACCAAACAAATAACGAAGCCATAAATTCGACACCTACGCGTCCACGAGCACCTGGATCGGGTGTTATGACCAAGTTTTGGTCACAAATACTAACAAACGAGAGGATTACCTTGAAAAGAGGCCATGCACAGAGGATGTTTGGAATGTATAAAGCATCAAATGCTGTTAAAATAAGTAACAAAGAGGCAAATAAAGCGGAAATCAGTAACGAGGCGTTAAAAACAGACAGTTCTGTCTATATCGTTAAAAGCATAAAAAAAAGAGCGCGCAACATTATTGATCTAAATGAAGGAGAACAATATGAGAGAGCAAATAACAAAGACCGTAATGGTGTTAACACTGAAATTCAAAATGTAAATTATGAATCGGCAGGTGCCGCTGCTCTTTCCGTCTTGCCCACCGTCAAACTCTACCATTATCGAGTCATCATTTTCACCATGTGCCGACGTGGATTTACATAGCCAGTGAAAGAAATTCAAATCACGTTCATTGGACAAGGGGAAAGTTACGAATAAGAGTATATTATTCAGTCGCTTTTTTGACAGGGTTAACCAAAAAAGAGAAACCCATTGTGAAGATAACGAGAGTAATGTGAACAATAAGAACGAGCAAATTAATGATGAACGTAAAGACGATTGTGCTCAAACCGGCGGTTACCCGGACTACAGAATCGGCGGCTTTTTATCCTCAAGTATAATTGGCAATTGCGAAAGTCAAGCTGCAAACTGTGCAGAAAACGGGAATATATCTAGTCCGGCAATTCATTACCGTAATATATCTGGTACTTTTAATGAAAGTAATATACTGATTACAATTTTGTACCAAGTCTGTCAAGAACAGATTTTCCTTGGACTGATACTGGGGAACTCAAAGCGGGAGACGATGAATTTGAAAACTTGCATGCATGTAGACAGTATAAAGCCGAAAGCCGCTTATTTGACTGGTGGTGAGAGGATCCAAATATATCTCCGGTGATCGGTTCGTCCTCATTGACGTTACCGGATCATTCTTATCTGGAAGACATGACATATTCCGATAACAACAACAAATCATTCAATATACTGTTTATCAAGACTTTGACCTATTTAGTGATGGTGTGGAGATTTTTTTGACAAGTTTCATAGCTCGTATAAATGGCGATGATTAGATTTAAAATGTGTGTATGTAAATAATAGTATGTTCTAAATAATAATAAATTGAATTCAAGTTCGCGACGAGTGATGCTGTATCACATGATGATGGCGCAATGGCCACAATAATGCATTCCACAATAACACAAATCTTCATTGTAGTACAATTAAAAGCAATATTAATATATTTAGTAAGCATAATGGTTATTACATCAACTTTTATGTCATCATTATGTCATTTCACGAATAGAATCAGAACAAGTATGTTGCGGAGAATCCACGTACAAAGCATTATGTCTGTATATTGACATCATGTATGGGCCTTTTTTCAATGGGGTTTCGAATTTAGTTAATTTAGTTATTGTTCTTCCACTAATTGAGGTCAAGCTAGTTTTAATTGACAAGCTTTTTAAGACATGTTTGCTGACCAATTAGTCACTGAAGCAAACGGTGGATATCCGTGTTTATTTTCGCAAAAATCCAGACGCAAATACATCGAGTATTAGTCTTACCCTACCCAATATTGAGAATTAAAGACTAATGCATGCAGAGTTTATTATCCACAGTTTCGAAATAATATCACTCAATTACGTGAAATTAGTAACTTGCACTCATGCCAGGCTGGCAAAAATAACTATCGCGAGGAACTTTAACAAACCAGCTTGTTACAATCACATGATTAAAAAATTTAAACTGAATGTAATTGGATGATCGATAGAATAACTAAATAGTAATAGTAGCAACGATAATGATATATCGTCCATCTTTTGAATATCCATCGGGAGAAAGCGTAATTCTCATAGTTAGTGCTTTAAAATGTCCCGCCTCAGACATGTTGTTTCAGATTGGCAATCATAACATTGTAATTGATGTATAGGATCTTAAAATCTGCATGATAATATTAGTATGAAATTTCCTTTATTGCTCGCCTTTTATTTCTTCGTTCGTGAAAGGCTACACACAACTCTTTTAACGAATAGAATTTAAAATATTTTTTTTGGTAAGAACACACACACACATATTTTTACACACACATCTTGGCATCAAAGCCTAACTTTCCTCCATGACTGCTCAGTTTGCTGTGCCTGGAGTTGAGCATGTGAAAGAAATATATACATTTAATTCATAGCATCTTATCTTGCACAAGGCTTAATAAGAAATCATGGTAATATCCTCCCGAAGAACAAAAAAGCGGAGAATGGCTCGCAGTGTTCACGCACATGGCTCAATCTTGTAAATACAACGAGGTGACCTAGCGCGGCAGGTCCGTTCAGATATGAATCGCGGCGAATAGTCTTGCTCGTTTCACAGTTTCTTCTCTGTCCTTCTTATACTCATCAAGAGCTTTTATAGCAAATCGTCCGAAATCCTTGTCTTCTAACCAATTAGGCTCATCCCAGTTGGACGGGAGGATTGTACCATCGTTGCATGATTGACCTTGTGTTATTATATTCTTGAAACAACGCATCGTATACAGTTTAGGAGTATAAACACCCAATTCTCCAAAGACAGAAGAGGCAGCTTCCTCACAGGAAATAGCCTCTTCGACTATTCGCTTGATTTCAATAACCGTTGTACCACCGCGTTTGAATAGTGATTCTCTATAGACAAAGAACGTATTAATTAGTATGTTGTAGATCCACTCTCCAACTCTCCAGACACTATGCGTATTGATTACTCACGATATAACCCACAAATGCATGGCCTTATCCTGATCATCGCATGGTAAGTATTGTGCGGCAAGAGCATAATTTTGAATTGCCACATCGAACAATATTATTCTCTCTTCTTCACCAATCTTTGCCTCGTTCGCTTTGTGGTAAGCGACGATAGCTTTAGTCCGATAAGCAGCAGCCAAATGGGCTTTGTAATAAGTGCACATTTGAAATCCTTCATTCAACACTTCATTATTACACGCGGTTTGGCAATTTTCTAAAATCTTTTCTGCTTCAGCCAATGCGTCAGTTAGGGGAAAGAGCGTATTATCCAAGGTGCTGCTATAACCGCAAAGGATAGCATCAATAAGCAATACACGGCATGAGCGTTCAAAGCTCGGTTTGAATGTGTTGCCACGAACGCGATAGTTCTTTTCGTGCGGATCGAGTTGGAACCAGCCATACTTTATCAAAGAAAGCGCACGACGGATTAGAGCTATCCCGTTGAGCGTTTCTTGGCCTCTTTTACAGTCGTGCCAGACTTTAAGATAACCTATCGAAAATACAGTTGTCGAAACGTTATTCGGATTTTTCAGTGAACGGAAGATATGTTGGGGTTTCTGCTTTCTTACCAAGAGTAACCGAAGCCGTTACAGTAGCTTCAAACACAATTTTCACAACATTCCAATCTTCATGAATCAACATCTTTTTCATAGTCCTAATTGCTTCATCAACAGGTACGGACATTCCTATTGCGCCCTTCATCATAGTATCTCCTTGAATAGCTTTTGCTAAATCCTTTGCATCATCCCACGAACCAAAGTAAAACGACCGCTTATCACATAGCAGAGCAGAAGTAATCTTGGCCAACCCTCCCGTACTGACATTCAAGGAAACAGATCCCGACTCGTTTACTATTCTAGTCAATACCCTACGGGCAATCACCATTCCTTGAGTAAAATCGTTTGCAGCCCGGAAGAGTCGCTCACGAGAACTACCTGACGGGAATGGATGTGGGCCGGTGCCGTCCCATGCTTGAGCCATCTGAAGGACTCGAAGAGGTGGGCATGGCACAGGCGATTTGGGGCCTGGAATTTTTTGTGCTGATGATCGTCTTGTGTTTTTGGAAGGTTGTTGTCGTTTGAAATCTCGTACATCTTTATTGGCTAGTTTGGGTGATTCAAGAGGTCTATCTGAACGTTGAAATATCCGAAACATTGAAACCGACATGAATAATCGTGAGGGATGTAACCCAAGAGAGGGTATTAGCAATTTCAACATTGAGGCTTACCTTGATGTTTTAAGGGCGTCGGGGTTCTGCTTCTCCGATGATATCCGTTAGCGTATCTTGGATTCAACTCATTTCCGTTGCTCGTTGCATCTCCATTACTTTCCATTTGCGTATATCTATAATAACTAGTAGCTACCAGGATTCAGTTCACGCTCGACTTTACGTCTTTAAACCAATCTTGAACATACCTGTGGGAATGTATTCTGTAGCGTTCGAGTGTTTCTAGCGACTGCCAAGTATGTTTGACGCTCTATTACGATGACGACCTGAAACACAAGTAGTATTATTAATAAAATCCTTGATCTAATCAATTATATCATGTGTTTTTTATTATCTTTGCCCACGCTTACCTGCTTGGTATGTAATATTTCTTTCTTTTTTTCGCTGCTATGTCTCTTAGCGTTCCCTCTGTTTTCATTCCCTCCTGTCTTCAACTAATACCTCAAGCAGGCAAGATGATGGGAGAATTGCCTTACCGGGTACTCTATACATGCATGTTTCGTGTTCAGGATCCTTGATCTGCGTTACTCATACAAGGGTTCTGTTCCACAACCAATTCAGGAAACTTGGTTTCATCTTGGCTAACATATAAGTGTATGGTCTATAAATAGTATAAATAAGAAGATCAGTTTGTCATATTAAACCGAACTATGCCTTCAGCAAGTTTATGTAGTTTATGTGGGCGTATATCAGCCCGTCTTGGAAGGTGGGAATTTATTAAAAGACTGCAAATTTTGTGATAATGATTGTACTACCACATGAATAAATGTAGTTCGAAAATAGGCTTCTGATATTCCCAAACTGTAACGTATTTTTAGATTATTTAAAATTTCCTTAATGTGTCCCTTAATTATTCCTTCTTGATGCACACCAATTTAACGACCCATGAACTCTCTGGCCAATGCCAACCCACCCTTTATACGCTCGAGAATGTCGTTTTTATAAATAACTCTCACTAAATTCTCAACAAATGTCGTTCCCCTTGCATGCATTGGGTAGTCAACGACGGTTGGTATGGTGGTCTTGACTATCAACGGGAATCGATCCAGAGTGACCGATTTAGCGAGACACATGGCACGAAGTCCCTCTCTCCCACCAAATCTGCATTAAAAATGAATACTTGTAGCAAACGTAACAGAAAACCGCCTCCTTAACCAATGTGAAACCCCTCCGTTTGTTACACTCTTACCTTCCAAATCCAGAAATACCAACTCCACCAAATGGTAGATTACATATATACGCGACCGCAAAATCATTTACATTCACCATTCCACTTTTCAATCTCTTGGCCATCTGGTTTCCCTTTGCCTGATCTCGAGTAAATACGGAATTACCAAGTCCGTATGGACAGCCATTGCACATCTCGATAGCTTCCTCGTCAGTTTGAAACTTCATAACCGTCATTATCGGAGCAAAAACTTCATGCTGAGAAATTGGCATCGATGGAGTCACATCAACGAGGAGAGTTGGAGTAAAGTATTGACCTGAAGGGTAAATCGGATGTGTGTATGATTTGCCCCCGATAACAAGTTTTGCACCCTGAGAGACCGAGTCGTTGATTAAATTTTCTAATCGGGAAGCCTGACGAGAAATTAAAGATGTATCAAATTGTAACGTATATAAGCGATGATATCCATACTTTCTCACATACTCCGCGCACACAAACAAATAAATGTCTTTAAACTCATACCTGTCCACTCATGGTGAGGGCTCCAACATCAACCTTTCCCTCACCCTCTTCAAGCGAACATCCGACTCGTAACTTATCACCAGTAATCTTTTCTTTAACTCTCCTCACAAACTCGTCATATAATTTCTCGTGCACTAACACTCGTTCTATTCCAACACAGTTCTGTCCTGTATTTTGAAAGGTACCACGCATTATAATAGGAATGGCTTGATCCAAGTTTGCATCCTCTCTTAATATGGCCGCATCCTTTCCGCCAAGTTCAAGAATACATGGCGTGAGCGAATCAGAGGCTGTTTTCATTACTTGTTTCCCCACCTGAGGAGAACTAAGGCAAAAATCGGCTATATTTCGTAATGATTTCCATTGATATCGAATCACTCAGATAAGAATGAAACTTTACCCGACAAACGTGATGCCATCAACACCGCTGCGAACAATTGCTTCGCCACAGTCTGCATATCCACAAAGAAATTGGACAATCTCCGGATCATGACCACATGCATTCAGACAAGTTTTCATAATTCTACTAAAGTAGTCTACAGACCATGCAACTAATCGATTATAAACCATCTTAGCTTATCTCATACCAATTATATTTACAAAAAAGACTTTAATCCTTTCCAAACCTTGTTCAGATGCCTTCACTAATATCCCATTACCAGCAAAGAGCGCACTGATTATTTGGCCAAACAAATTGTGGAATCTGTGAAAACAAGTGATTGTATTTTAAACCACTTTTCAACGAGTGTACTACATTTTAATCTTAGCCGCCTTCATTTATGCTTACGGATAATTCCAAGAGACCAAAGCTGCAACGACGCCGAGAGGTTGATATTCGATTTTAGCAATCTTGTACGGAAGCAGTGGCCCAGGATCAAAGAATTCGGTTGCAAGAGCCTTTTCACCATTCTTGATGGTCCATCGAATACGCTCGCATGTTGACAAAATTTCACCAAGCATTGCATCGACCACTAAAGAGTCAGAACCCACCATTCATGTGAGCAATTCTATTTCATACAACACGATAATAATGTCGATTGCAATACACTTACTGGTCTTGCCACTGTCTCTACAAGTTACCCAACATATTTCTTCCTGATACTCGATAATATAGTTCAATAGACTGTTTAATACTCTTTTCCGCTCAGCAAACGACGTCTTTTCCCACGATTTCTGTGCAATTCGCGCTCGTGAAATCGCTTCGGTAACATCGACCGCAGTGTGAGCTTTAACGGTGGACAAGTATTTTCCTGTTGCCGGATCGTAACAAATTATGACTGTGGGATCATTGGGGTCCTGACGAAAGTGGGATTTAATGATTTGTTAGATTTCTTTGCATATGCCAATTGTAGAATAAGATTTGCTTGTAATCATAATATACCCTGATTGAGGGATTAGAGATGGTTGTAGTTGCTTTCCAGTCTGGTTTTGCTTCTGCCAGATCGTTTCGATCAGTTAATTAGTACCAAGGCAATATATCGCAAGATAATTGGTTTTAAAATTTCTGGGTTACCAGGTGGCACTTGAACATGAAATCGTGCAGGCGGCTTCTCCAATATTAATCTTAACGCTGCATAACTTGCAATCGTAACTGCAACCGTACTAATCGATGCGACAATAACAATTAGGTTGACATTGATGTCGAAAAGGTTATCCATTGTAGAGAAAAAGCCTAATGCAAACGTCCATCATAAGAGTATTTAATAATTCACATGAAACTAATTAATCCACCAATAGCAAATCACCCTCTGCCAACTGTAAGATAACGGAAAAAAGGGGTCGTTATGTTTTAGTATATTAGTTCAACGGCTGAAGATCACAAGATGAGTTGAACTATTCCGAAAGAAGAATAATCCAAAGCCTTTGCTAACTACAAACCCCCTCGCGTTCGTTGCCACAACCTTATCGATGACAAAAGAGTAATTGAGTATTATTAATTTCAGATCCAAATATATTCTATGCTATATGTTATTCTCATCCAACTTTCTTATGCGTTGCGTAAAGTATAACTGTAAGATAACAGTGTCTAATCAGCACAGTTTTATTTAAAGAAAAGAGTCTTGGGCACCTTGTGTTGCGTGTATGAGTGTCAATATCATCGTGATGAATCATCTGTCTTGTTATTATTCTATTTATTATATATATGTTCAACATTTTATATTACATAAAGTATGAAAGACCCAAAACATGCGATCAATCATCATCGCTAAACAATCTTTCGTCATCCTCCATATGACATCGATGACAATACTGATAGTCGGTTCTCCCTCGTTGACATCCTTTGCAAGTACCAAACAGATAGCGACGACGACATTCTACAAATGATACGCGTTTCAAATGAGTATGTCTTTCAACGGTACATCGAAATGATACGTAGTAGTAGACTCGATAAACTCTAGCGTTAACTCACCATCCTCACTAATTCCAAAAGGCGTTACATCAGCTGGATCTCCATGGATGTTTTGACAGACGGTACATTTAATAGATTTCCTGGACATGTGTCTTTGATAATCTAGTAAGAGAATCAAAAACTGATTTATCACCCTGTACATCTTTTGACCCAGAACAAACACGCAAAACCCCAGTGATTATTTACCAGCTCCATGATCGCATCCAGCAATGGTATGTTTGAGATGCGAACTTGACGTTGCTTCATCGTCTACATCCATCAGAGAAATTTCGTGAGACAACAATAATAGAGACTAACGATTCGCATACACAAGAGCATATACATACCAAGCACATTACCCATGCATAGGTGATTGCACCAACAATTTGCTGTAAACAAACAAAGTCAACCTTATTATTCCCATCTCTCAATAATTCTCATCTAGCGCATTCTTATTCATTCAAACAGCTTACCAACTATTGATCCGCTGCCTTTCTCATCTTTATTAACAACGTTACTCGTATTCAAGAATTGGTTAGCTTGCCTTCTATATGATTGCTCTGTACAATTGTTAGCATTATAGTGGATAGGGACCAGAGAACGCTGGAAAATTGACTGAGCACGGTTGCTGTATGCGGTAGTCATTTGTATTCAAGTGTCGCAATGGTAAGAACAATAATATACGGACACACCGACTGAGTTCTGCTTGTTGTTCCGCCGATTTAAACAGGATGTGATAGAACGAAAAAATCTCTAATTTCTCGACGTGGGAATCAAGGGGTATTTTACCTGTATAATAATGATGCAATAGAAAGTAAAAGGTGAATCAACGGATTAACTTGTGCAATGGAAAAAAAAAACTACATTCTCTCACCAATCGCCGGTAATTCATATATAAATAATTATGAAATTTTGAACAGAATCCAATTTATCAGTCAAACACTCCTCTGGCTTTGTCAGAATCCCTTTCGTTTTTATACCAACAGAGATGGGGATTGTACGACGGAGATTTATGTATGGCTCACAGCGGCATACATCGCACTAAATAAAGAAAAAGCATACCTCACATCATAATCAATGAAATTGTAAAACACATGTAAAACCCTCCCCCTCAAAGTAGTCAAAACGCCACATAAACATATCGTCACTGAAAGAGCAATTTTCCATACAAACGGGTCTGTTTAACCTAACGCCACAGTTTTAAACAATGAATTTTTGTCATTATTTAATTTTCTAAATATAACGATAGCAATGATCTTACAAAATTAAAGGCAAATGATCAAAAGCAAAGGTAATCAAACATCAATAATGAATAGACTTGTCGAAGTAAAGGTTGAGCATGTCTGCATTGATTTTGTCAATCAAGTATGAACTTGCTTCTTTATTCATTAGTTCATCATTATTATTCTGTTAAAACAAATATCTCTTCTTTAATACATGGTAATAGTAATAATGGATAAAGGTGTTACAATTAGTTCTGTGATACAGTTACGCAGCATACATTCTTTTTACTGTTGTTTGATAGACGAATAAACTGTTACAAGTTCATAGTATCCTGTCGATTATTTTACCATAATAATAAACACAGACTCTTTCTAATAACGGAGCAAATTTATTCCATCCAATTGAAACAATTTATACAAGTGCTTGATCGCTGTATAAAATTTGCACCCATGTATACTTAAACGCTTGAACGGTTGGATTAAAAATGCTAAACTAAAAAAAAAGTTTAATGAGCATAAATATATAAACAGCCCATCTACGAAAAGCTTTTCTATTGATCAAACTTCTGGAGCTGGACTTTGGTCATATTTGTGGCTATAAAAATCCACAAATACACGAAAAGAGGCACACTAACACAACTTATTACTGCAATTTTTTTAAATACTCCAAAGAATGTTATAGTTATCAACGATGTTCAAGTTTCCCACCCCTCACTTTACATTAGCTCAGTCGTTTGTTTTTTTATTGTAATGTTTTTTTACCAATGCAGTTGAATATCCCACATAAAACCCCCCATTTTTTAAAATCCTGTACTTATACAAAAATTTCTGTTTCTCCTCTGTGCCATTGGTGATAAGAGTATGTACATACATTGATATTTGTCAATCACTTTTAAGAGGCAGTCTTGCTTTGAATAAAAAATTCCTCTGTCACTCTGGATAATAATTATTGATGATCAACAAAGAGTAACTGTCTTTTTGTTTTCTCTTCAACATTAGAAAAAAAATTAAATTGTTTTATTTTCTACATTCTTGCATTGGTATACCATACTGATATGTTTTTGCCTGTATTTCAATTCATGCACTGTCTTTTGTAAGTATGAGGGGCTAATTTGGCTATGCTAATTATACTAGTGCTAGGTTTTTATTATTTTGAGAATTGAATGCAGGACATTATAATTTCTGGTTCCATAGCAATTCAGGAATCCAAGGTTTCATATACAAGCCAATGTAACTAAATACAAAATTAATTAATATCTCAATTTCCACTATTTATAGAAGTTAAGTACAAGAGGAAATAACAGCACAAAAAAGAAAGTAGAATTGATCCTGAGACGTCTCACAATATCTGTATCTGCATCATCTAACAGAACTATTGGAAGAGGGATAGTAATAAACATATCACACATTACAATATGATGACATTTTGCTAACTTAGGTTATGAAAATAACCATTGTTTTAGTTACCCAATACTTAGTGCAATGCAAAAAGAAGCTTGAGTGCAGTGGGCTAAAACTGAATTTTTGGACTGCCTTTCAGTTATTTTGAAATATGATAAGACAATAGTAATAGTGAGAAGGGGAGAGGCCAGCTTGTTTTTTCCCAAAAAACTTTGTATAAAGTGGTTCTATCTTCAAAGAAACCTTTTTTTTTGCTTATAACTGGTTGATTTTACATTGAATAAAGGTGAAAGCATCTTAAGACAATAATAATGTGGGTGAACAAAACAAAAAAAAAAGCACTCTTTAATTTTTACTTGTACTTGATAATTATGAAAGTACTAACCAGATCTGGACCATTCTACTATTACTATTGAAAGTCCAATTGCTGCAAATTAAAATACTCTTATAGTCATTTGTCAGACTAGTTTTTCTGCAGTGGTTATGTTCAAATATTTGAAATCACCGTGTAAACAATTTAAAATTGTGTTAGTATTAGTATTAGATGCTGAAAGAACAATTAAATAGTAATGTATTCACTCCCGTTATTTTTGGCCATCGGGATTCGGGATTGTTTGCTGCAAAATTCAGTAATTTATAGAATTATAACCCTACAATTAGGTGAAATGATAGAAATGTATGTTATGTAATCACTACGGATCATCCCGATTCTTAGGATCGATCGAAAGGCTTAAATCCACTCTCCCGCAGTAACTTATTATAAATCCCATATTTGTAAAGAGCTGCAAGTGGCTAACTTACATGGTGCTACAAGACAACTGCGATCAAAAAACCTTCCTGGTAATTGAGTCACTCAACTTGGTAGACACTAAACTCCTGTTATATAAATGCCTGGTCTTCTCATCTCTCCATCCTACCTTCAGTCGAGGAAAGCTAAGGAATTGCAGGGCCCATTGACACCGCTGCTACATGCAGCAACAGCAAGACTGTCTGGTTGGGAGCTAAGCCCGCCAAGGCTCTATATCGAAGAGAACGATATCAATATGGGACAATTACTGGCGCTCAATACTCTTCACGCACTCGCGACCGACCATCCAACCAATACCACTTGGTCAAACGAGGATATGGAAGCATATATTCAGCTGAGGTCGAGGTGGTCCGAAATACAGGACGGAAGAAGAGATACAAAGCCCAGCTCTTGTCGCTGGCAAGACTGACGAGGAGAGTTGTGACATACTCAACGGATTGAGATACATTCATATCCTCTCAAGACCTACCGCACCAGTGAATGTGTGAGTAGGGGTACCTCAATTAGAAAGAATCATTACCGTATCGACTCATCCTGCGGTCTAAATGGTGAGCGATTGGGAGATTGTTGGCTATAATAGACGACAGTTCGAGATGGCCCACACGAATCGATTAGGCACTGTCTTCACTGGGACAGTATACAGCAAGCGGAGACATATAATGAATGCAATCGAAAACATCAATATTTCCAGCGCAAGACCATGGATTGGATGTTCAGGGTTTTTTAATCAGGAACCGTTTGATCGTAAACGGATGTTATGCGAAGCGCTGACACGAGTAGCACATAGAATCTATAACTTATATAGGAATATAGACGATGGAATAACAGAGGGGGTAGTTGTTAGCCGACATCGTCGATTTCGCAATTTAAAAATATGCAAGCATCTGAAATGTTGTATAATAATAACGGACACTCCCTACTTTATAATAATAAATTCCATCGTTGAAGCTGGTGTTGGAAAAGTGTCAACAATTTTGTAGTGTGTTGAGCAATAATAAATCATAATAATATATTCATATTAATCAAATACTATGAACTACGATTGTGGAACGGGTGTAAGGAATTCCTTAAATAGACGCATCGAAATTATAGCCATACAGTCTTCGACTGAGGATTATTATCAGTTGTGATAGTTCTATTCTTGTGCCGAACGGAAATGTCTATTGTTTAGGAGGCTAAATAAACCAGATAAATGACACTGGAGTGTCGGATCAGACAGGAAAGAATCAGTGCAATATTTTTGTTTACTTGACTAGATAGTTTAACATTTATACCTTGATATAAAGAGATGTCTGCAATTTTAACTACACCTTAACTGACCTATATTACTATAATATCAAATGTAAACTTGAAATAAAATTTTTATCAAATCCATGTATGGAACCAAAGAGTTACAGCACTATTAGAAGTATCACATCACTATCACAAGCAGCCTTCAAAATGGTTTGAATAAACTTTTGCCTGAGACTTTGATCTGGTAAGTCTCCTTTAGAATGTTATATCAGCCAGGTCACAATCAATATATTTGGAAACAGACTTTGCCAAAAATAAATTATTGAGGTGACTGCAAGACTGGCTTTGCTTTGGTATTGAATATTGAACCAAGATTTTGGAGCAGAAGTTTGCTATTGATAGTTTCATTCATACCAGTTTCTCGTGTCCTTTACTAGACGCAACTAAGGTGGACCTCTAAAGCTGCTTGTAGAGTTTGGTGAAGAGGACGCGATTGTTGCAGCAATGTATCAGCCAGTGAAAAAGTGATACGAACGAATGTAAGGTTTATTCGGTTGTAGAAACTGAAGGCTATTCCTTTAACGCCCTTTTTTTATTGATAAATAAAGACACGACAGATAGTCAAATACAACAACCTGATAAGACGAATAAATTTAACTGATATTATACTGGTCCTCTTGTCACATCGTGTTCGGTTTTTGACTGTAAATAAATTGATTGCTTATAAACATTTCAGAAACAATCGACTTTCGATACATCTTCCGTTATTTTCTTTCTGACACTTGCGTTACTACTTTTAAACGAATTACCTCGTGTTTCTCTGACTTGCGTTTTAGTTCGAGAAGTTTCTCATTTTCCTCATTAACGTCAATCTCTGCCATTAGTTCACTTCCATCTTTAATTGTCTGATAATCGTCGTCAGGCAGGTACAGGTTAGTAGTAGGTGGCAAGAGGACCCTCGCAATTGTCTGTAGAGTTAAATATTCATTGATACTGTTATATCTTTCATGTACTCATGTCCACCGACCTACTCCCCAAAATACTTACATGTCCAACCCCATTATTAGCAATGAAATCTTTGAACAATACTCTCACGCCGTTGACAGTTATCTTTACTAGAGTATCCAATTCGGTGTGGCGCTTGCCAGGAATGCCGCCGAATAATTCTTTATCTTCTATCAGATCAGTACTATAAGCCAACTCTGGCGAGATATGATATTTGAGAATGGTAGTCAGAACATCCTTTCCATGCGGACTGAACAAATATGCAAGATTGCGAAACCCTAATTTAGCCCAGGCACGATTAGATGGAATGAACACCGTGATAGCTTTAGACGTTTCAAGAGTTTCAGCCAAGCCAACTTTCTGTAATGCCGATGTTAGAGTAGAGAAAAATGTTGGAATAATGAATAGTTCGGTCATAATATCTGGAGGTGGGATGAGAACATGATCAATTCCGTAAGCATGACCATTGCCAGCTGCGAGATGGTAAATCTTAATTTTTGACCAGTTGATATAAGTACTGCGAATCCAGCCGCTAACGCGAACTTTTTGAGGTGTGTCGTTGAGTCCGGATGAGTTTAGTCCTGTATCCAAAACGCGGGAGGCAAGCAAAGATTTATACGGGAGAGCGGCGTTAACGATGTGATATCGAAATATCATAGTTATCATGTAAATGTTGACTAGTTACAGACTCCCAACAGCTTCTTCTTGTCCAAACACTTACTCTACGAATAACCTCCTTGGGAATTTTCTTGTCTTTGAGGCATTCAAGAGCCTTATCAATCGGAGCAAAAAACGTCAACTACACAAACAGCAAAATCAGTATATCAATGCCCTATTAGCATCAGTGCATCCGTAAAAACACTCGTCTTCAACGTAAACCTACAGCTGCATCTTCGTCACTCAGAGTCTCTTTAAGTTCATCGTCGTCATTAATGAACCGGGTCAGAATACTAAAAGCATCTGATGTCACTATATCATACAAAGTCGTTCCTTGATTCGTTATTAGGTTGCTGTCAACGCCAACTGCCAGATAATTCTGGTCGTCACTATTGGATGGCAAGAAGACAACGCCGTCATTTCCCTGCTTTATCCCCGCAGCAAGCAGACGTTCTCAACAAATTTGGAGTGTGACAATTTCTTGCAAGACGCAAAAGGGGAGAGTTAGCAGAAAAAAGATGTCTCATGGGAAATGTGTGCGTGAGACTTTCTCGCAACATTTATATGTACAAATTTAGGTTGTTTGTTTTTACGGTTCTAGCCTTTTATGTTTATGGGGAATTTTGTGCACAGCCTTATCGATAACTGAATAGATAAAACGTTCAGCAATACTAATTCCTGCTATGCGAATACTTGATGTATTTACTTTGCTCTCTATCTTGTAAACCATTTCCTGAAAAGGTTTTTTTTTTGTTTGTTTTTTTATTTGGGGTCGGGGTTGGGGTTTATGCGTTCGCTTCGGACCTCTTCACCGTATTTTCGATTGCATAAGTGGGATCTTCTCTATACGTGCATCCTATTCAAAGTAAATAGAGAGATTGATTACAAGGCGTTGATACGTAAATTGAGCTTACTAAAATGTTTACTATCTGATATCTTGTTTTCAGTAAATCTGGCCTTATTGCACCTCTTCATTCCTTCTCAGCCACTCCCATACGCATTTCCTCTTCCTCATTTCTTAACTTCCTCTCTAAACTCCCTTCTTTACGTCCTCGCCTCACCCCTGCGATCCACAATGTCTTTTTTCACGCCCACTCCATTTTTTCTGAACCCTTTATGTCATAATGGCTACGCTAGAATCTCTCGCGCAGGCAGTCAATAATAATTTACTTGTATCAAAATCGTTTGTTTGTTTTTTTATAAAAAGAATTAATACACGTTGTAAGTTTATTTCAAACACAAAGAGTTTTTAATTTAACCCATAACCAACAGCGCAACCAACAATATTGGCCAAAAACAATTTGCAATTATTCAAATGAATATATCAATTCTGATTTAGGAAATTTTATTAAAAGATGCAGTCTTATTCAGCGGGAAATTTTCTTCATTGTTTTCAATTATAAATACACGTTGATTAAAATATTTGCTCAAACTCACGGCCAGAGGCAGATTGCCAAACATTATTTCGCACAGTTGGGCTGTTAAGGCTACGCAGCAGCATCATGAAATATGTCTTTGAGGATGTGAGTGGATTTATTGATGATTCATCACTTGCGTAAAATGACCTAAGGTTTTAGTTCTTCAGGAGTTTCAAAGATGGGATTTGCTTTTATCGCATCTCTAGGATTCTTGTCTACATTCTAGTCATGAAGTGGCTATCGCGTCTATCAAGGCCAACTGCATGGGCCATTTGGTTTGGATATGAAAACAATGTCAGGAAGGAAGCACGCATTATCCGGCTGGTGCTGAAATGCTTCGAATCGAGCTCGAATGTATTATTCAGGAACGATTAGCATCAAACTCGTTACCAATTTCATAAAACATTAGTCTCAAGATTTACTTTTTAATAATAACGTATCATATTTTCTTACATAGTCAAATGATCTACCTGGCAAAGGTAAAGGCAACTAACATAACAGTAAACGTGCACGTTTTTATTTCGGCATCTTGTTAACTCAACCATATTGACATACATAGTATAATTCGAATAGGAGCAAACCTTTGAATAAAACTCGTATAAGCCCGTTGAATTACAAGTTTATTCAAAAAAAGTTTGAGTCTCTAATTATAAGAAATGCAATTACGATATTAATATTGTAAATTGACTTTATTTGTACCAACATGTCTTCATACCTGCAGCTGAATCCATATCATAGCTATTTCTTGGTTTAGGTAGATCTCCCGTAGGTAAGAGTGTACTAGAAT